TAATATTCAGTAATCCCTTGTTTATTGCAGGGGATCTGTACCCTGAAGCTCCGCGATAAGTGAAAAACCGCAAAGTAGGAACACTATATTTATTTTAGTATTTATATATATTTTATAAGGCTTTATAAACCCTTCCCACACTCTTGCAATATTCTAAACTCTTAAACTTACTTTAACACCATACGTATATGCACTGTACAGTACTGCAAAGTTTTACTCACCAGCTCTGCAGACTAGCAGCTCGGTTCAGGTTCAGCAGACCTACCCTGCAGTGATGAAACCCGCTGCCCCATCCAGGTTGATGTTCTCGTGGATAATTGAGCTTCAGGAAGCTTCAGGATTGTTTGTGACTTTCCTGTCAGTTCTGTGAGCTTCATAGATACCGTAGATTTGTGTTGCAAAACTTTCCCCTCCATTTCATCAGAAAGCAGCGGCTGGAAGCACTGTTGGCTTCTGGGTAGTGAAGTTCTTTTGACAGGTGATAGAGTGTATGCCTATTGAAAGAAAACTACAAAATGGCGGCACCTGTCTGAAGATTTTTTTCACGCTAACTTTTTATCCCGTACCGTCCCAGTCACATGAGTAATATTAAAGTTGACAATCGTTGAAAACCTGCGAAAGAACGGGTCCTCGAAAGTCGAACCGCAAAGTAGCAAGGGACTAGTCAAGTCAAGTCACATTTATTTATATAGCACCTTTAAAACAGTAACTGTTATCAAAGTGCTTACCAAAAAATATCACAGGACCAAATATTAATAACAAGATATTACAGCAACATGAATAAAAGCATAAAAACATGAAATATAATGAGAAACAATGAAATACTAAATCAAATCACCCTGCGTTAAATGTCAGGGAGTAAAAGCAAAATGGATATACTCAATCATCAACAACGAAATACCAAATGAGATCACCCTGTGTTAAATGCCAATGAGTACAGATGTGTTTTGAGAAGGGATTTAAAAATAGAGACTGAGGTGGCCTGTCGAATGTTGATGGGCAGATTATTCCAGAGTTTAGGGCCCATGACTGAAAACACTTGATCTCCTCTGAACTTTAGCCTGGTTTTAGGTACGGCCAAAAGCAGCTGGTCTGATGATCTCAAGGCCCGAGAAGGAGCATAAGGATGAAGGAGGTCGGAGAGGTATGAGGGTGCAAGGCCGTTAATGCACTTAAATGTCAGCAGGAGAATTTTAAAATCAACTCTGACACGTACAGGAAGCCAGTGAAGAGAGGACAGAACTGGAGTAATGTGCTCAAACCTGCAAGTTCCTGTTAGTAGCCGAGCCGCTGCATTTTGGACAAGCTGAAGACGTGAGAGAGAGACCTGACTGACCCCAGCATAAAGCAAGCTACAGTAGTCCAGCCGGGTTGTAATAAATGCATGGACTAATTTTTCAAGGTCGGATCTGGACAGCACGGACTTGAGCTTAGCTATCTGCTTTAGATGAAAGAAGCTTTTTTGAAGAACAGAATTTATCTGCTTATTAAACTTAAAAGTCAGAGTCTAAAACTATCCCGAGATTGGTAACAGACTATTTTAGATATGGCTGAAGGGAGTGAATATATTAAACAAAAAACTAGACTTTCATAAGATATACAATTTAGCATACGTGTTAGCATTTATTAGTGCAAAACACCAGTCTTGGATTAATCTCTTATCATTAGTAAAACATAAGCTTATCAGTAACATATAACTCAAATGTCTGTAGCCTTCAAACACTATTTCCTCATTTAATTGGTGCAATATATTAGCTCTTTCTAATGCACAGTAAAAGATCCACCTCCACAATAATCATTATAACAACAATTCCTTGCAGTTTGCTTCAACCACACCATGCTTCTGTTGTCTCTGCAGATGAACCTTGCGTTGACCACTTCAGCTGGTGCCACTTGGTTCCCCAACATGGCGTTTGCACCCATAAGTTCTATGGACAGCAGTGCTGCAAATCCTGCTCCAGCAAGAAACTGTAGAGCTGTGTCTGCGGCGTGTGGCCTCTGAAGGAAACACTGCCACAGAAACCACTAGCTTACTCGCCACACACAGAACTGCGCACCAAGAATGTGTGTTTTCCTCCTGGAGTACTTGACCGATGCGTTTTGTGAAGAAGTAAAAGGAAAAGAATGCATGGACTCTGCTGAAGAGAACAGTTTGGCTGCTGATGTTGCTCCGCAAAGACAGTGTCACACAGTCCCTGATTGCATTTAAAGTTGAGAAACGGCAAAACTCCCACCTGAAGACTTTGTTGATGTAATATATATGTATTGTCTTTTTGAAACCTTTGAACCTAGAAAGCCATCATAAGAACAAGACCTAGTGGTTAGCTTCTTTACATGTTGTACATTTAAAGGCATCTGGTTTGATATGCCTTTTTTAAGTTATTATGAGTTGTGACACGTCATTTGACATTTTGTTCAGGCGTGCGGCGGACTGACACGGCTTTTCAGCGTGCTGCAGGTTTGTTCCAGTCACCTCTGGATCCATGTGATGAGATTTTAGATGAGGTGTTAGTAATCAGTGATCAGCACTTCTCTCCCACAATCTCTACTTTCCCTGTTTGTTACTGCTGACGCACAATAGGACCCTTTCCCCCTGTCTGTTCCATTCATGATAATGCAGTGAAAACATGCCTATCTGTGTGGTTAAAACATTTTATTCAGCTGTGCTGTAATGGTCGTCTTTATCTGTCCTGTATCAGTATGGTAAATAACTTGACCGTCTATCTGTCTCTCTTCTCTTCCCCGCATTCTCTCTATCGATTGGCGGCAAAATGAGGTGAATAATGAGCGAGGCTATCTGCAGGCCTTGGGGAGAGGAGAGGAGGGTGAAGAGGGAGACAAGAGGATGATTGCTGGGCGAGCGTGGGTGCAGTATAGATAGCAAGCGCTTGTTAGGAGAAAACAATGTAGGTTCTCCACAGAAGTCTGGTCAAAATGTAGAGCAGGTGGAGCTTGAGATAAGAGATGGCACACTCAGAGTCGGTTGGATGTTCACAAAACATAAAATGGTTTGAAGGCTTCACTTCACTCTTGGATGCAGACATGTGCTCTGCAAGCTAGTTACAAAAGAGGAGATAATTTAGTGCAGAGGGGACATTATGTTTTTAAAACCCTCTGCCGTGGAGCCTGAGATGCATCTGGGCAGCTGTATTTCAGTTTGACACATGCAATATATATATATATATAAAAATGGTGCTAAAAGAAGATGCATTGGTTTCAGTTTGGGAGACTTGATGAAACTGACGTTCTGTTGTTCTTTTTGTTTTGTTTTTTGTTCTGGAAATTTGACAGAACAGAAGTAAACTATAATTCCTGCACACGACAACAACTGTTGTTTCAATCAGATGGTTATTGGGCAGCGTAAAAGTCAAAATCCAGTGTTAATTCTATGAGAAGTTCAGGCTGTTTGTTCTGTATCCAAACAGTGATTGGAAGGTTTTTACATTTTCAAAATAAAACAAAACATTTGAGACCATGTTTAACTAACATACTTGTGTGCACAAACAGTTTTCACAGCACATTTTTGCTACAGACACAAAATAAAAATGCTACAATAGGAAGTTAAAATGAAATAAATACAGAATGGAGCCATGTTCTTCCTTTGCAGACACCGTGGTCTCATGTGAGTGATCATTACAAACTTGTTCACTAATTTCCAATTACAGTTTTCACTCATGACAATGTTCTGATCCTTTAACAACTAAAAAGGGCTTATTAATGTGGGGAGTGGCGGCGCGGAGGTTAGAGAAGATGGGCCTGTGATCGGAAAGTCGCAGGTTCAACTCCCGTTACCGTCAACATCAAAATGTGGGTGGAAAAAGGTGAAGCACCCACACCTGCCTCCACCCTCATTTTCCCCACTAGGGCCCTGAGCAAGGCCCTTAACCCCCACCATGTGCTCCCAAAACAGGTCTCTCTTGAAAATGAGTTCTCGTGACTAAATGAGACTACCTGGATAAATAAAGGGTAAATGAAAAAATGAAAATACTGTACAGCTCAAGTCAAAGCCTAATGAGTTAGCAGATTTCAACTGAAACCAATGAGTACAACCATCAAGCAACTCAATGGTCACATCAGAACCAGTGAACCAGTGAGGTTTGGGCCTCACAGGATCACTATCAGAATGCAGCGAGTTGATCCATGTGGCAAGTCATATGGACGTCAACATCCCAAGGTTTCCCAGCATCTTTGATCCAGTAACTTGACCACAGACCAACTTCACCCAGCATGGTAAAGCAGGTAGAGGATGGATGGATGGATGGATGGATGGATGGATGGATGGATGGATGGATGGAATGATTTTGAATGTTGATTGTGTGTTTTTCCTCTAGTTACTGACAATATGAGCAGCATAGTGGTAAAGCTGTTGTCACATGATAAAAATATAAAATGTTTACAATGTTCCAAGATTTACCCTAAAAACAAAAGCAAAATAGTAATGAACAACATTCCTTTGAGTCTGTATTCAATTTTATTTTTTATAGTAAGAAAATGGATGAATTGGCTTTGAAGGTTTGTACAAGTTTCTGTTTATGTAATGACGGTTGAGAAAACTGCTTGCTCCAACTCAACTCCAACTTTATTTATGTTGTACCTTTGAAATAACACGGATGGACCGAAGTGTGGAACATAAAAAGTAAATATTACTATATATAATATATACTATATGGGGCGACTGGCTGAGTGGTTAGATCAGTCATCCTCCAATGCAAGAGTTGAGGGTTCGACTTCACCAGCAGTCACATGCCAAAGTGTCCCTGGGCAAGACACTGAACCCCTCATTGCCTCCAATGTGTCCCAATCGGTGCATGAATGTGATAAAGCTCTGATTATTCTTTGTATAGATCTAGTAGAATGCTGTATGAATGGGTAAATGAGGGCACAGATTGTAGTGTAAAGAGCCCAACATTTTTCAGTCAGGTCATCTGCACAGTTTCTTTTTTTTGTGCTGAAACGTTTCGCCTTCGGTCTGGAAGGCTTCATCAGTCAAGGAAACATACAACAAAACTGATTCTTCCCCCAACAGCTTACTCCAAAATGGAACAAACCAGTTCTGCTTGTGATGATTACTTTGGAGTAAGCTGTTGGGGGAAGAATCAGTTTTGTTGTGTGTTTCCTTGACTGATGAAGTCTTCTGGACCTAAGGTGAAATGTTTCAGCACACACAAAAAAAGAAACTGTCCAGATGACCTGACTGAAAAATGTTGGATTGTATACCTGGATTATTGAGCATGGACTTTGTTGTTTTCAACCAGTTTGACAAGACTCAACAAGGAAGAGGGCCGGCAATGGAGGAGGGGGCGTACCAAAGAGACCATCTTATCACAAGCAGAACTGGTTTGTTCTACTTTGGAGTAAGCTGTTGGGGGAAGAATCAGTTTTGTTGTGTGTTTCCTTGACTGAGTGAAGCCTTCTGGACCGAAGGCGAAACATTCCATCACAAAAAAAAAAAAGAAACTGTCCAGATGACCTGACTGAAAAATGTTGGATTGTATACGGGGCAGCACGGTGGCGCAACTGGTAGAGCTGCTGCCTCTCAGTGAGCAGGTCCTTGGTTCAAACCCCGGTCCAGGGGCCTTTCTGGGTGGAGTTTGCATGTTCTCTCCGTGCATGCATGGGTTTTCTCCGGGTGCTCCGGTTTCCTCCCACAGACCAAAAACATGCATGTTAGGCTGATTGGTAACTCTAAATTGTCCCTAGGTGTGAGTGAGAGAGTGAATGCTTGTTTGTCTTGTGTGTCTCAATGTGGCCCTGTGATGGACTGCAGACCTGTCCAGGGTGTACCCCGCCCCTCGCACAGTGATTGCTGGACATGGGCACCAGCGACCCCCGTGACCCAAAATGGAATAAGCGGGTAAAGATAATGGATGGATGGATGGATGGATTGTATACCTGGATTATTGAGCATGGACTTTGTTGTAGTGTAAAGAGCTTTGAGAGTCTTGATGAGATAGAAAAGTGCTATAAGCACAGTCTATTGACCATACTATAGTACATTATAGTAGTATGCAAAATAATGTCATTACTATAAAAACAAATGACAAAACTGACTAAAATAAAGAATAAAAGTGCAAGGAAAAAAGTGTGTCTTTAAAGAACAACTTACCGGTATATCAAGGCTCTGGGCAGATTTGATGCCTAGGGACTCTGTCACTTTTGTCTTCAGCTTTGCTTAGAGGACTTTTGGCTCCATTTCTGGACTTTTGAGAAATTAGAAAAATGGATAAGTTTAGTCTGAAATTGTCCCTAGGTGAGAGTGAGAGAGTGAATGGTTGTCTTGTTTGTCTCTGTGTGTCCTTGTGATGGAATGGAGACCTGTCCAGGGTGTACCCCGCCTCTCGCACAGTGATGGCTGGACATGGGCACCAGTGACCCCCGCGACTCAAAAAGGAAGAAGTGGGTAAAGATGATGGATGGATGGATAAATTTAAGCCACTCCCCAATGAAACTTGAATAACAAGAATCAAACTAAGACTTATGCTTAACAAACTGTTTTTCTTTCTGTGATTATGTCACCCTATCATGCTCTGCAGGAGCTGCGATTGCTCTTTAATCAAACCGTCTGCATGAATCATGGAGCCTTGAATCCTCACGTCGTCTTGGCTGCATGCTGTTTATCGGCATGCTGTGACCCAGACACCACTAGCTGGGGCCCGAGCACAAATACAACTGTTCCACCATCATCCATACATTTCGAGTGTTTACTGAGCATGAAGCTAATTTTGAAGGTGCACTACACGCAAGGTTTTATGATGTGTCTTGTATTTACAAGCTGTCTTGAAGGCAGAAAGAATACGTATGCATATTATATGTCAAGTCCAATTTTGCTAGGTATGTCTACCTTTCAGTGGGGTAGCAATATTTACTGCTGATCTGATATGAGAATTTCTATTTCTCTCACATCCTGTTCCAGATGCAGCTCAATTTCCCTCATCGTTATTGGCCTATAATGAAATATTTTGTTTATCTTGGCATGTGGTGTCACATCAGCCAGCTGTAATACTGCAGCAGAGATATAAAAAGACTGCAAGTCAAATAAAGCCACAGGAACGGAACATGCTTATTTGGTATCCTCACTTGTATTTAAATTTTTAACCCATGTGAAAGGAAATGTGATGGCAGCATCAAAAAAGCAAATGCAGTGTCTAAATTATTGCAATTGATATTTATTGATAGTTAAGACATTTGAAATGCATATTAAAATGTATTTAATACTCTTATCATTCAAATACTGTAGCAATACATCCATTACTATTTTTGGACATGTGTCTGACTGATTTAC